GCCTCTATTTTTGTAACAAATTTATTTTCAAAATTTGATCAAGTCCTATATTATGTCAAATGACTAGAGAATCTCCTTAAAATCGCATGATCGAATATCTAGCATTAAATTCTTAACGATAGATTCGCTGAGAGTTTGCTCATATATTTAATAACATATTAAATATATATAGTGTTATTTATATAATGTTTTTAAATATGATGATAACACACATTCTCTTACATGTTTGAATAATTTTATGATATTTATTGTGCATCGACATTGTGCAGCCACATGAACGCGATGAAGAAGACATGGAAGAGGAAGATGAAAAGAAGAAAAAAGAGGATAAACGTAAGAAGGAAAAGCAAGATAGAGAAAGGCAACATACCGAAGATGAGGAAGAAAAGGATGATGATATTAAAGAAGATGACGATCAGAAACGAGAAGTGAGTTGTTTCAGTCCTATTATTTATTACTATTAAAATTAGTATACTATTGTTGTAACTGTTACTATTTTATTGGTTTGTTCTATTTTATTGAATTTATAGGAGGATGAAGATGGTGATGATGAGGAACGTGATGAAAATGAAAAAGCAGAACGCGATAGAAATGCAGATTCCGAAGAATTGCCAAGTAGACGGGATGGTAGAAAGTTCATAAAATTGAAATGCCCACATTGCGCCCATCACAGCGTTACATTCAAAGAATATTCGCTCCATCTATTCTCTGGACGTCATAGCGCAGCGATGAAACGTATTGCAGCTCGACATAAGGTTACTCTTACACGTATGCGAGTTGTTCAACGGCAAGAGCAGAGACGTATTGAAGCTCGTGATGCAGCACGCGGCACCCTACCTTCTCGTACTATGTTCTGTGCTATTTGCAAATTAAATTATCGTTCCTTGAAAGCTGCTCATCAACTGTCTGAATCTCATCGCCAAATGAAACGATTCCTCACACCATTCTGTCGTGTTTGTCGTATCCAATTCCGTTCGCCAATGTTCTTTGAGACACATATGTGTTCCCTAGAACACATCAAGGTGACTCCTATGTTTTGATAATTATTGTTAATGATTTTTATTGGTGTGATATTACTAATATAAATCGATTGTCCTCTCTTTTATCAGAGAAAGAGCATACTGAGAGAAAGAATGAATGCAAATGGAAGCGGTGAAGCAGAAGCAGATTCGAGCGCGCCAGAAGAAGATGATAAGGAAGTCAATCTTGATAATTTTATGACTTTGGATTCTGTAGGTGATGTAGATGGTACGTAACAAACATGTATGAAATATTCCTAATTTGTCAAAGCATCTTCTTTACAGTTAAATTTAATATCACATTTATCTTTGTCTTATGTTACACCATTACTGTTTACAGAAGACGAGGAAACTAACGACAAGAAGAAAGAAAAAACTGAGGGTGAAAGTTCAAGCGAAGCGGAGAAAAAATCAAAGGGCAAACAGATGATAAAAGTTGGTGCGGAATACATAAAACGTGTCGAAGTACAATACTGCGAGTTATGTAAAGTGTATCTGCCACGCAGCGAAAATACAGAGCGAGCAGTCGCTTTACATTGTTCCACTCGCAGTCATCTTAAACGGTATATCATCGCTGTTCAATAGGATAAGTAATCAGTAGGTAAACTATCAGTGGTATTTACAATATTATATGTGTTGCAGGTATGTGCGAGATAATGATGATAAGGCGCTTAGACGTCAAGCGGAAAGAATACATCTGCAATCGTCATCTTCAACGAATGTGAATTCTACCAATTCCACCGTGACTAATAATCCATCGGACAATGCAAAGACTTCTCCTGTCAATTCCGAGCCACAAGTATCTGCTACACCAGTATCTACTGCGGCTGATAATAACAGCGTTTGCGGCACAGAATATATTAAAATTGAAGAAGAAAAATCTAGTAGCTTAGAATCTGAAAAGAATGCGAAAGACAGTAAGAATAATCAGGGGGATGAAGATGACGACGACTATCGTGCACACGGTAGCGATAAAATGATTTGGGATGATGTCGACAAGGATTTAGGCGACATTTTAAGAGAGAGCGAGGCGGGAGCATCAAAATCGAGCGATGATGAAGATTCGCGTTACGATCGTTTTCGTAATTCGGACAAGAAACAACCCGGAAAAGAAAAAGAAACTGAGAAGAGCGAGATCCTCGAAGATAAAAGCGGTAATAATAAAATTAAAGATGTAAAAAATTAAGATCGAAAAGATAGATGTCTTTCGAGCTTAATATTATCGTCGAAAATTGTCTTGCTATACATTTTCCATTTATTTGATCCATTTTCTGTTATGTCCGTTTCACTTTCTTCCAAATCTTATTCTATTAACTTTTTATAGAATCATGCAAATATACATTTTCTCAAGATATATTTTCTTTAATTGAACAGAAACAATTTTTGTGCATAATGTGCTACACGTGCGAAATATTTAATCATTATTACATGTTTCATTTTTATGTTTGTATTGTATCTTCTTCAGTTGAAAACATGTATCAATTATAATATATCTAAATCTTGCAATTTTCAATTTATGTAATTTTAATATAAATATATACATATATATATACATATAAGTACTGTATCATTGATATCATATGTTGCCGAAGGACTGTCATTGACATTGTCGAGATATAATTAAATATATATATACACACACAATACGTGAAATAATAAAATATACAAATTTCAATTTTCAGTTATTAGCTTGGAGGAAAGCGACTGATCAATGTGTGCATCTCATGTAAGCACAATTTAAATACAGATTATCGATCACTTAATAAATTCTGCACTCTAGGATTGTATGATTTTTCACAAATCTCTGAATTAAATCGTAATTTCATATGTGTGACTGTTATCGATTATTTTAGTAAATATTTTGCTGATGAAAATTTTTAGAGTGTATAATACCAATGTTCTCTAATACAATATTAGAAATATCAATTTCTCGTTCACTTAATATTAATGTAAACAAATTTCTTTGTATCTAAGAAGCATTTTTTGTCTGTAATTAGTACGATTAACAATGTAGCTACGACTAACAATGTAGCTGTACTTTATTTGCAAATAAACTGAAAACCAGATACTCCTTGTTGTAAAGTCTCTACTTTTTATCCCTACCAGTCCCTGTATTTTGTAACTCGTTATGCAGTCGTCATGACACAATGACTGCATAACGAGTTACAGGATACAGAGTTATTAGACCTTTATTTATTAGATTTTTAGTGAAATTTGATAATGGTTGACATAATATTATAATTTTATATTTTTTTTATATTTGTGGTACATAATGAAAGAATATTTTCATATTTTAGAAGAGAAGTGTTTTGAATAAAAGTTACTTTCTTCTTAACACAGGCATTTGAAATTTTAATATTCCCATAACCAAGGAAGACTATCAAGATTCAATTGTAACATGTAAGAAAACGACAAAATCATGCATTTTTATTTGGTGGTTCCTAAAATATTAGAATCTTTAATATTTTGTATGATTAATCCTACATACATTTATTGCACATTATTAACGTAAATCATAGTAGAATATTTTAAGAATTTAATAAATTAACAATTATGAACATCGAGAAAGAGAAAAACAGAAATGCTAGTGTAGCTAACATAAGTGTAATCAGTATTGTGAAACCGATTACATATGCAATTTTACGCAATGACGTAGCCCATGACGCATGCGCGCAGAATCAGTTCGGAGAATTTTTACTTTCCAATGCTTGGCATGCTTTGGCATGCTTGGCACATCAGCACATGGTGGCACATGGATCCGATGGATCACTCGTGATCAGTCGTCAGGGAATTCACGTTCAACTATCGCCTTGGATCGGACAGTGTGCGAGAGCCAAGATTGACGCGCCCTGTTTCGTTAAAATTCATCATTTTAGTGTTGATTGTGGTGAAGCCAATCCTTATCGCGGTGTTTATAAGAATACCGGACGGATTGTGCGTTCGCGCAGACGTATTACGGTCCAAGGTACGCGTTCCAACGTGGTCTCTCAAACTTGATTTTCGGCTACGTCCTGAATAAAACACTCGTGCATCCGTGCGAGCGATTTGATGCTTGACATTGGATTGGATAATGGCACTGATGCGAGGATTACGATCGTCTTTTGTCTTGGGAACGAATTATGTATACACGTACATATCTAATCAAGTTGTTCCCGCGAGAACTGTGTCTCTCATGCAACCGCTCTCTAAGAATAAAGAGTAAGTAAAAAAAATTGGAACAATAATCGTTCTCTCGAGTAGGAACGTTCGGAACTTTTAGGTAACTTTGATCAAGTTCGGATTAATTTAATTGACGCTCAGTTCAATCGGCAAGATTGTTTACCGAGAGGGTAACCACTTGATGTAATCGTGGGACAGAGTCCTCGAAATCATTATAAAATTCATATGAAATCTCTGTGTATAATTCGATAATTACATAAGCAAACACAAGAAACCATTGTATAATATTAAATAAAATCATATATTTTACCAAATTACTTCAGATGTGAAAAAAATTATTTGTAATCAGATGAAATCATATGAAATCGTGTACTTAATCTGTAGGATAATATTTTAGCTAGTGGTTACCCCCTCGTTGTTTACAATAAACTTATACAATTCATCATTCCTAATCTAATTTCTCCTTACGTGTCAGATAACAAATAGTGATAATTCTGTTCACATTAGAACACCAATGCTCGTTTCTACCAATGTAGTTTAACTTTAATTTTTCAATTCAACCAACTAACTTTAAGAATAAGAAAAAGATGAAGAATAAGTTGAACCGAGATTAAAGTTAATCTATATTGATAGAAATAGATATAAGTTACACTTGACAAGTTAATTGCTGATAATCAGAATTTGATCTAAGTGGTTAAAGTCCTTTATATACTCAGTCGCTTTCTACTTGACACTGTAGTGTCAAGATAATTAGTAAGATTAGTATTGTTAATGACTTTTTCATTTTAAAAATCTCAAGAAACGCCTCGTAAAAGCTGCTGCGAAGAAAGATCTCTAATAATATCACAAGAAATTTCGAGATATATTTAACCAAATAAAATTACAAATTTCTAGATAAAATTATGTTTAATTTTAGTAATGTGTAAATAATTAATTAAAATTTGCATTGCTAAGAATTATTCGTGAATATTTAAGTAAAATTAAACTTTTGTTGATAAAACGATATCTAGGCGAAATATTAAAAATAAATATTATACATATTTTATTCAGGGTTACTGTAACGTTTGTTAAAGCCAATGGAGAAAGGATAAAAGCAAAAGGAGAAATTGGAAACAGTATTTTAGATATTGTTGTGAACAATGATCTTGAGTTGGATGGTTATGGTATGAACGTTTTATACAAAAATCTATTTGTTCTTAATAATTGTGCACAAGTTTGATGAAGCATGTATTTTCTATCTTGAATATAGGAGCTTGTGAAGGAACATTAACGTGCAGCACTTGTCATTTAATATTTTCTAAGGATGTGTTTGATAAACTTCCAGACAAACCTACAGAGGAAGAAATTGATATGCTGGATTTGGCACAAGAGCGAGGACCAACGTACGTTTATTCGAATTGTATCCTTGCTCTCTTTCTTGAGAAATGTTTTATATGCTAATAAAAGATCTATACGAACGAGAGAGAGAGAGAAGAAATATTCTCTCTCTAAATCTCACTTTGTAATGGCTCTTACATTTATTCATGAATTAGCTTCTTATACTTATATCCCTAAGGGATGATTTTGAATAAAATTTGCTTTAAGTAGGAGCCTATCAGGGTCAAACATCATTTGATTTGTTATTCAAATTAATTGTATCAGTCTCTTTTCTACTTTCATTATACTTTCGCATTTTTATATTTTTTTAGGCATACAATAAACTTGTTTTATTTATTATTTATCATTCAGTTATATATTTTTTTATTTGTCTGTTTTAAATATGTGTATTTAATTATAGTTCGAGATTGGGCTGTCAGATAATCATGACTGAAGAACTCGATGGCATTGAAATAAGAGTACCAGCTACCATTAATGATGCAAGACAAGCATAATAATTTCTAGTATAATTCAAGTTCATTAGATCTTGTTAAAGGCGTTTAGATAATTTTAGGCGTTTTATATCAGCTCTTTTAGTGTAATTCAATCTAATCATTCTTTCTCTCCAGTATAATGCAATATGTTATGTACAATGTACGTAATAGGCAAAAATTATATTCACACTGTTAGAAATTTCGTTATGAATAACATGTAACGGAAGCTTGTGATTATGAGGTAACTGAAAAGTACCTAACGAATAGTTTAACAGTTTAACTGAAAACAAAGTTACAGTAGTCTTAAATATAAGAGGCTTTCTATATTAAGCCATTATCTAAGCTTTAAGTTTTAAGCTACAAGAAATTGACTAATCACAGTCGAGTGTAAAAAAAATAATCGACTATGATTAGTCAATTTAAGTAACGGCTTAGAAAGTCCACAATGAATGTGTGCATTAAATTTCATACGGCTTATTGGAAAACTTCTTACATTTAAGACTACTGTAACTTAGTTTTCAGTTAAACCAGTCATGCTTTTCAGTTATCTCATAATTATAAGCTTCTGTTACATGTATACAAATGTACTTTTTAGTTACCTCATATACAGTAAGGGGGGATTCTGGTCTAGAAGCTTGATTTTTAGGATATTTTCACGAATTTTTTTTGAAAAATTCGTAAGGTCTATTCAAATCAGGGTTTCTCTTACATATTAGTACATATTTCAAGTATCTTTCAGAATTTTTTTATTGTAATATTTCAAGAAATATGCCCTATATAATAGTTTTTGTGAAATCGTGAAAAAAAACACTGTGACCATGATTGCGGCTGTTCTATTCGTCTGAAACAAAAAAAAACCAAAGAGATTCTTAAAGCATATGAGTCTAGCTATAGCCTGAACTAAGATAAGAAAAAAATATTAGAAAAAAATAAAATGGCGCTATTTTGAAAATTACTTTCCGATTTTTTCGAATTTTTCGAATCTTTAAATAAATAAAAATAAACATTTTGACTTTATTGTAGTTTAGGTGATAGCCAGAATTAAAAATCAAGCTTGTAGACTAGAATCCCCACTTAAATTCAATGTAATGTTATGAAATTAAATTCAACTTCTATAACTTAAAAATACATTAAATTTCGTAATATTTTTAACAGTGCAGATTCAAAATTATATTCAGATCTAAATATTGTAAAGACAAAAATATGTAAAGAAAATTCTTTAAGCAATATTTTTCAAATAATTGTACATATTATATAAATATATATATATATATATATATAATACTAATATGTAAAATGTTTTTATTGAAAATAATATACTAAATATGAACGATGAAAAAAATAAATTTTCTATTTGCCACTTTTAAAAATAAACTTTTATTTTTTTGTTCCACTTATAATCTAGAAATCAGTTGTAAATCTATCTTAAAATCAAATGCTGTTATCAAATTTTATTTATAAAATATTGAATTTGTTATTATCTTCATTTTTATTATACAATGATATATTGAGATATCCAAATGAATGATCGCAACATATTTTAATCAAGAAAGAGATTAAAAAGGCGAAAGTTTTGCAAGTAACTTTAACTATTCTCGTAGTTAAATTAATCACACAACCCAAATGAAAAATATTCACTTTCATAAATCAATGAGATGTAAAATGTATGTATGTACATATTGATGATTTATATATAGGGAATATTAATCTACTATCTAATACTAATGAATACATTTAACAATAACAACGAAATATCAATAGAAAAATACTTGATAAGCAATCAGAAAAAAAAACTTAAATCACGTCTATATTATGATTGAAATAATTTATGCACAACTTGATTCGCAGTACATATCCAGAATAATTTATTTTTTCTTTTTTTAATTAATTACATATCAAATACATCTAATGTTGTTACATAAACTATCAGTACATAAAGCTAAAACACTTTTGTACTATGTGCGTTATATATGAATCCAACAAATAACTTACATGAGATTAAGTTACATGCTTCACTACTTCCAAATGTACTTATTACTATACTACTTACAAATGCAGTGAAGTGTATACATGTATGTTACTATATAATTTACATTATTTTCAACTTCTCTCTTTCTCTCTCTTACCCTGCCCATTTATTAAATTACATCTTCAATTTCTAGAATATATCATATATATTCTTGCGTTATATATGTACGTTTAATCGAGTTGTCTTTCGATTTATTTAAATGTTATAATAGTGAAAGCTATCATTAAGTTTCTCGTTTCGAATTTCTAATTCAATTGATGGAGCTAGACAGTAGACACAAATCGCGAATATTGATATATTCATGAAATAAATTGATTTAATAATTGTTTGGAATCAAATATAAAATGAGATATACAAACAAAGAATTTAAATAACATAATATGACGGTTAATAAAAGATTTTTAATTATTTTTGGATTCGACAAAACCGTGACTAAATGTGAAAAAATTTGTAAATACAGCAAAAGCTCCACTTTCGCACGTTTTTTATTCTACCCAAAATTCATTTTTATTGATATTAGGTTTCATGTTCGTGGAAACTCGTGTAAAATTTGCTTAGTCGCAAAAAAGAACAATAAAGTAAAAATTTATTTTTAACGTTTTTATTTTAGATAATCCTAAGAATTATCTTGCTGTCTGTGATTTTTTGATGTATTCGCGACATCCAAGTATGAATTTCGTATATTTGGGTATCGTGATTACACAAAAATATATCTATATATGGTAATATATTTTACAGAACACGTAATCATTGCGAATATGGAACTTCTACCGTAATATAACGTAAGATATGTTATGTCATACATAGATTATCGAGCGTTTTTACGTAAGTCGTTACCACATGATTTGTATTATCATTCCGTGCAACACACAAATTCTTTATGCTTTCTTTTTTTTTCAGTTGTACTGGAAGTTAGATTCCAAATGCTTTAAATAACACAAATGTCATATGTATATATCGCAAGGATATGGAGATTAATACAAATAAAAAATAAAAGTAAGATATCTTCTAAATGCTGTAATCATTAAAACTGTTGCATAAACATGTTTAAAAATGCAGTTATTATATTTTTTTTATGTTCAAGAAAATGTTTAGTGTCAATAAATTATACGAAACGATGTTTTTAGATTTAATTAATACGAAAGTTTAAAAATATATTTTCAAAAAGAAAATTTTTCGTGTTGTGGGTATTCTATAATTATTTTTAAGTACTGAAGTTACAATCTCTTTTAATGTGTGTGTACGTGAACCTTTTATGACCACACAGTAACGATATAAAATTATAAATCTAATTCTAATAGGTACACTTAAGTATAAATCCATAAAGGCTTCATATCTTGATAATATGATTTTAAATATTAAAAAACACTGATGTATAAAGGGAACGAAATTATGGCCGGTATTCATAGTTGGTTTTTATATTCAACATCGTTTTAAGATGTTATGAACCAATCAGGAAGCCGTATTAGTAGAGACATTACTTAAGACGGTCTTAAAATAAGAACCGACTATGAATACCGGTCTATGTATTTAATTTATAAATCATACAACGCACATCCATTGTCTTGAAATTTGAAGAACTCGTTAAATTTTTTTCTTTTGTAGATAATAGATTAATCAACTTGCAAACGGATAAATAATGAACAATTGAATTTGCGGTTAACTGATCTGTTAAATGTAGTTGGATGATATTTACACTGTGTAGTAAATATCATTAAGAAAATATAAACTTGATTTCATCAGTGCGTCGAGTTTACAAATTTCAAGTATATTATCAATCAGCTGCGCAATTATACAATAACCGGAGTTCTAAAATCTTATGTTTTCATATACACACATGTAAACGAAAATAATCTAGGACTAGAGATTCTGCAAGATAAGTACAAATAATAATAATAAGTGAAGACATGGCAAGATTCACATTTGTGCCAATTTCTCGTTCGAGATCTCTGAGGATTCGAAAGTATGCACATTGTTACATATACATGTTGAAGTACATTTCAATAATCGCGCGTAGTCAAAGATAATTGGGATTCTCGATAAGCATAAAGATATAATTCTACGCAGTTTTCGGTAAATTATATCTAATATAAAAAATGATTATATCTTAAATATATATTTTTTGTAATCAAAAAGTCTGTAAAAAAATTATTAATATTTTATTCTTGACATCGAAAATTGCATGAACTTTATTTAATATTCCGAGGATGTCGTGATATCAAATACCCAGAGAACTTACGAAGCGAAATGCAACACGCATTCGAGGAATCCTTTTTTTGTCGGCGTTGCGCAACAGGAACCTGTTGCTGTTGCTCATGGTGATAGCAGGATATATAAGTCGTAAATAAAGCATAAATCGGCAAGTTTTGTTCGAGGAATCGAAATGATTCCCGCATTGCATCGACGTGGCGAGAAATTTCTCCAGAACACCCATTACAATAAGTGTATATTTTGTACGGTTTACCCTGAACGCATTGATAAAAAATGAAGCGAAACCTGTCTGAGAAAATTGTAATTAGTAGCGATATGCAAAAAATATGTAGTTCATCAAGGCCAACAAGAACTAACGCTATCGACCAGTCATTAAATCATGTTAGCTACAATACTAGCAGGATCAAGACAGTTTGGATTCTGACTGTAGGGACTAAGAAAACTCGACGGGAGAAAAACAAAAAATCTTATGACTTGAGTAATACTGGTTTAATAAACCAGGCCATAAACATGGTCAGTGGCATTGAGAATATAAATTCCAAGGCCGTCAATAATTGTCGGAATAATATAGAGGCTAGACAAACAAAAACACTGATAAAGTTTCGTCCGATAAATTCTGATGGAATTGTTTGACATTCTTAAAATACCATATTCAAACTGATCATAAAAGCGGTTAAAATGTTATTTTGGATCATCCTGTATAGCTTCTATAGTAACAGCCGTTTCCGTTAAATAGTCTCTATTGTTAAGTTATATTAAAAATAAAAATATTAAATATCAGATGGTAAAAATAAATTTTTAAAAATGTATTGCTGCAATTAGGTTTTCTTAAATTGTGGAAATAAATTCAATCGAATTATCTTTGTTTCGCGTTTAGTTGTGTCACAGGTATATTTAAGCTGTAAATAAAGAATTAAGAAAATGTTCAC